CCAACGTTGATTCAGAAAAGATCTGCATTGGCATGATTAATAATAATAATAATAATAATACTTTATTGGTGATAGCATCAAAGTGATTTTCACAGGTCATAAAAGAAAAGAATACAATAAACGCAAAAATGCAATTTTCAATAATAGTAAGTACACTAAACGTAGTAATCAGTAACAACAGGTAAGCAAAAGAACAAACAAAAAAGAGAGAAAAAGGCTTCTGGGAGGCGACACACTGGTCATAGCAAGTCATCAAAATCATTGGTCAAAAACTCCTCAACAGTATAAAAGGCCTTCGCCACTAAATAATTTTTTATTTTGTGTTTGAAATTGTTACTCTCTAACAATCTTATGTGTTTCGGAAGGACATTGTAGAATTTTATGCCAAAATAATTGACGCCATCCCTGGCCCTTGCCGTCCGAGAATAGTCCGTAATTAAGGTATCACCTGCCCTTGTGTGGTAATTATGATAACTATTAAGAGTTTTAAATTTGGAGATATTACCCTTGATATACAAGAGACAATGGAGAATATAAAGCGAAGGGAAAGTTAGTATCTTATAATCAATGAAATTGGCTCTACAACAGTCCCGAAAACCTAGACCGGCCATAACTCTAACACATCTTCCCTGCACACCAAAAACACGATCCGCATGGGCGGTGTGACCCCAACAAATTAACGCGTACGATACGTGGCTGAAGAAATAGCCGTAGTATGTGTTCATTACAACATTGAACGGGACAAGGTCTCTCAGTCTCTCAGTCTCCGAATGACGAATACAATGGTATTCAGTTTTTTCGTCAATTGGTCAATGTGGGCCTTCCACGTTAAACCAGAGTCAAGATAAACCCCCAGCAACTTGACCGGCTGCGTATACAACCTGAGACGTTTAAGTGAAAAGTTTAAAGTTTGTGTTTTTTCTCTATTCATGCTTAGTCTGTTGGCCTGAATCCAATTTGAGATGCAGGCTTGTGACTCAGATATGCGGTGATGCAAAGCATCGGCATCTGTTGAGGAGACCATTACGGTTGTATCATCAGCAAAAAGGATGAGGTCGGAATCATGGGGAATGTTACTGGGTAGGTCGTTGACAAATATCAAAAACAGGAGTGGCCCCAATACTGAGCCCTGAGGTACACCAAACCTAAGTGGAAAACGACCGGACTCTAGACCGTCAAGGGAAACCACCGAGTCACCATGAAAACTGCATCTAATGAGTCTTCATTAAGTTTTCTGTATGTATAGTTGCACATACTTACCAATCTTCGCAAGGAACTCGTATGTAATATTTTCCGGAAGTTCCACTAATTTCACAACATGAATGTTTGGCAAACATAATTAAAATAAAAATAATCGTTCTTTCTTTTTATATCGCGTAAATCAGGTCTCTAGACGCTGTCGAGTTTCTACTTGTTCAGTAGATGACCGTTAAATTTTAGTTGTATCACACCACATGTTGATCACGTAGTACCGACGAGTAATCCCGAGCAAAATAGTCCGGTGCCTACGAAGTACCTGAAGGAAAAGTACAGTTTACACGTGTTGTGTAAAATTTAATGTTTTATATATTACATAACTTCACTAACATGAGTAAAAAAGAACTCTCCTTTAGAGAACTGTAAAAACTACTCTATTAAGTGAATAATATATGAACTCTATATTAATATTAAATATAGTGTACATTAGAATTGTTTTTACCATGTAGTATAACAATTTTTACTCTAATTCTTTTTACCACTACTCTAAAATTTTTACACGACACAATTTTTTCCTATGTACAAGATAGAGATTTGGCCTTTGCGGGATTGGATAAGTCTCGGAAAAAGAGACCGAGACATGGCACCTGCTTTTTTCGTATCTCTTATAGTTTCTGAGATAGCCTATAATAACACGCAAATTTGCCCACCCTGTACATTTTTTTTTTTCTACCATTTTCATGCATATTGAAGCAGTGTGTGCATTGCTGTCAATCCTTCTGTGAATGTTCTTATTCATGATTCCATATAACTCCTGGTCTTCGTTCTCCTGCAATCCTTTGATTTTTAATTTCTTTCGCTCGGTGATCATTTCCCAAGTTTTTTGCGTTATTCTTTGGTTCCTTTTTCCCAAAATTCACAGATGCGGTAGCTAGCTCAACAGCGTGTTTCATTTCAGTTCAAAGTTCAGCAGAGTTCATTTATGTTGATTCCATCTTGCGATATTTTGTCAAGATTATCTTAGAACGTGGCGTTCTCCAAGTATACATTCTTCTAATATGATGTTGGAAATAAGGATTAGATATGTATAGTTCATTCTCCACGTAGACTTCGATGAGCAATTGACCACGTCATTCCTTTGTCATATACCATATTTTGCTAATATCGTACGTAAATGTGTATCTGTGTTTGTTTCCCCAATTTTAGCATTATAACTACAACTTGTAATTTAGCTAATAGGATGTTTGAAAATCAGTTTGCAGATTCAGATTTAGTTTTGAAACCAAGTAGTAGAGAAATTTTAAAATAAAGTATATTTTTATTTCATTAATATCTTGCGCTAAAAATGTAAGCTGGGTAATTAATATCTGCTGTTGTTTGTTCATCTCATATTTAACATTAAATAATAACAAAATTAATAAATAAAGACCTTTCCAACATTTTCTCAAGAAATTTTCTAAATAATTCATTCAAATTCATTCCCTTTTTTAGAAACACCAGATGGAAGATAGAAAATGAATCCATAACTTTTCAAATTACGCATCTTTCATCCCACATCTGTTTACTAGGTGAAAACTATAAATCGAACTTTCAATTAACTTTTTAAGAAAATAATAAATTTTTCAAATTTAATCTTCTTTCAATTAAACCAAATCATTTAAATTTAAAATAAAAATCTTTTAAGCGTAAAATCGAGTAATAAAACACATATAATCAACTAATTAATCGCTTAAGGTGCGCACGAACATTTTTTTAATCTGGGTTAAATTTCGTTTCCGCAAGGTGTGAAGAGAATGTACTTTGCTCATTTATTCGTTCATATCTCAATGAACCCGAAATGATGTTATTTTAAGAATTAGAGCGTTTACTTGAACAGAAAAAAGATTTTAAATTGTATTATTAGCTTGTTAATAAAATTATTATCTTATTTGAATAATCATTTAAATTAATATAAAAAAAGCTTTAAATTAATAAAATTAAATTCATCAAATAGCATGCAAAAAAAATGTTTAAAAATTATTTTCGAGTAATAAAAATTAACACTTTCAAAGTGTTTATTTTTGTTATTTAGTCCGTAACGGATGCGTTTGAATAATACATAATACATCCGAAATTCCGTTTTAAACTCGATTAAAACGAGAGTTTAGCACGCGTATCTAGCGTTTTCTTCTTTCCTCAGAAAAGAAAGAAAGCCACCGTAAAAGTATATATGGGCAAAATAGCTTAGTTCTCGATCAGTTCTCGTTTAGATTTTACACCAGAAATCATCATAAAACAATTTAAAAAAATGTGCGACGAAGATTTAGTTGCTTTGGTAGTTGACAATGGATCTGGAATGTGTAAAGCTGGATTCGCAGGGGATGATGCCCCACGCGCTGTTTTTCCAAGTTTAGTCGGAAGACCACGATACCAAGTAAAAAAAAATAATTTTAATATTAAAATTTTCTTTATCAAGATTTGTTATCATCTTTTTTGTTTTAAGGGCATCATGGTAGGGATGGGACAAAAAGATTCTTACGTTGGTGATGAGGCCCAAACCAAAAGGGGAGTTTTAACCGTTAAATATCCCATCGAACATGGCATCGTTAGCAATTGGGATGATATGGAAAAAATTTGGCACCACACCTTTTACAATGAATTAAGGATAGCACCGGAAGAACATCCAGTTTTATTAACGGAAGCCCCTTTAAACCCTAAAATTAATCGAGAAAAAATGACCCAAATCATGTTTGAGACTTTTGGTACTCCAGCAATGTATGTTGCAATTCAAGCAGTTTTATCTTTATACGCTAGTGGAAGAACAACCGGAATTGTTATGGATTCTGGGGATGGTGTATCACACACAGTTCCTATTTATGAAGGTATTTATCGATTTTATTCAATTTAATTAATTCTAAATCATCATTTTTTTTATCTAGGTTATGCTTTACCACACGCAATTTTACGATTAGATTTAGCAGGTCGCGATTTAACCGATTATTTAATGAAAATCTTAACGGAACGTGGTTACAGTTTTACAACAACAGCGGAACGTGAGATAATCCGCGATTTAAAAGAAAAAATCTGTATCGTTTCGCAAGATTTCGAAGGGGATTTAACGAAATCGGCTCAAACGAATTGTTTCGAAAAATCGTACGAACTTCCCGATGGGCAAACGATAACCATAGGAAATGAACGATTCCGGTGTCCAGAAGCGATGTTCCAACCTGCTTTAATCGGGATGGAAACTGCCGGAATTCACGAGACTACTTATAATTCAATTATGAGATGCGATGTTGATATTAGAAAGGATTTATACGCGAATACGGTTTTGTCAGGTGGGAGTACGATGTTTGTGGGAATTGCTGATCGTATACAAAAGGAAATTGGAGCTTTAGCTCCTGCTAGTATGAAAATTAAAATTATTGCTCCACCCGAACGGAAATATTCTGTTTGGATTGGAGGTAGTATTTTGGCTAGTTTAACTACGTTTCAACAAATGTGGATTTCAAAACAAGAATATGAAGAATGTGGACCTGTTATTGTACATAGGAAGTGTTTTTAATGTATTTATTGTGAATGATTGTATTTAATAAAGAAAGTTAGATAATTAAAAAAAATATACTCTATTTTATCGATCTTGCATTTACGTACACAATTTATGCAACAAACAATGATAAAGCAAGGACGGTAGAATTTAAGAGAACTGCTACATCTCGAAAAAGATTCACAATTCGACGGCCCGTTCGTGACGTCACACAAATGTTAAAATGCTATTTTAACAACTTTTAGTGTTTGTTAACACAAAATCTTTGTAATCTCAAGAATGGTTAATGATACAGCTTTTAACAAAGAGTACCTTTCTTGTTTAAAATACTTCAAAGAATTCAAAAATTTACTCAAAATTAAAATTGAGCCAGTGGCGTAGATGTTATAGAGTGTAGAACTACGATATTTTCAATTTATGTATTTTTAGTACAAAATCGTTGATATCATAAAAACAGTTTGTGATACTGCTTTCAATTACAAGTGTTTTTTACGTAAAATAACCCAAGGAATTCAAAAATGTACTCGAAATTCGAAAATATACAGTTTCATACAAGATACAGGCGTCAGAATCAAAATATTCCCATTTTAACTCTTTTTAGTGTTTGTTAACACAAATTGTTTTTATCTCAAGAATGGCTAATGATACAACTTTTAACAAAGAGTACTTTTTTTATTTAAAATACTTCAAAGAATTCAAAAATGTATTCAAAATTAAAATTGAGTCAGTGGCGTAGATGTTATGGAGTGTAGAATTACGATATCTTCAATTTTTGTAGTTTTGCTACAAAATCGTAGATATCATAAAAACGGTTTGTGATACAGCTTTTAATTAACAGTCTTTTTTTACGTAAAATAATCCAAGGAATTAAAAAATGTACACAAAATTCGAAAATATTCAGTTTCATACAAGATACAGGTTTCAGAATCAAAATATTCCTATTTTAACTCTTTTTAGTGTTTGTTAACACAAAATGTTTTTATCTCAAGAATGGCTAATGATACAACTTTTAACAAAAAGTACCTTTTTTTATTTAAAATACTTCAAAGAATTCAAAAATGTATTCAAAATTAAAATTGAGTCAGTGGCGTAGATGTTCCGGAGTGTAGAATTACGATATCTGCAATTTTTGTATTTTTACTACAAAATCGTTGATATCATAAAAACGGTTTGTGATACAGATTGTAATTAACAGTCTTTTTTTACGTAAAATAATCCAAGGAATTCAAAAATGTACTCGAAATTCGAAAATATTCAGTTTCATACAAGATACAGGTTTCAGAATCAGGATATTCCCATTTTAACTCTTTTTAGGGTTTGTTAACACAAAATGTTTTTATCTTAAGAATGGCTAATGATACAACTTTTAACAAAGAGTACCTTTTTATTTAAAATACTTCAAAGAATTTAAAAATGTACTCAAAATTAAAATTGAGTCAGTGACGTAGATGTTATGGAGTGTAGAATTACGATATCTGCAATTTTTGTATTTTTACTACAAAATCGTAGATATCATAAAAACGGTTTGTGATACAGCTTTTAATTAACAATACTTTTTTACGTAAAATAACCCAAGGAATTCAAAAATGTACTCGAAATTCGAAAATATTCAGTTTTATACAAGATACAGGCTCCGGAATGAAAATATTCCCATTGTAACTTTTTTTAGCATTTTATATTATAAAATCCTTTTTATCTCACGAACGGTCAATGATACAGCTTCTAATAAAGGGCAAACTTCAAATAATTGAAAAATTTACTCAAAATATAGTATAGATGTTATACGATATCATCAATTTTTTACTTTCAATTCAATTTTATTATCATTAATTTGTTTACTTAATAACTTGAACTTGCAAGTAACCTTAAAAGTCAGCTTAGATTCCAGTAACGCAAAAAGCGTAAAAGTATTCAACAAATTAGACACGCAATAAGTAAATGATTGTGTCAAATATTTATATTGTGAACGTCTCTCCTAACAATAATTCTGTTAAACTAATATGGAGAAGATTTATTAGTTAAGACCTTACGGTAGAGACAAGCAGAGTGGAGAGAACGTCGATTTCACATACTTAACCAGTCCACCAACCTTAATCTGTGTGAGATTCTCTCATATCTTCGAATCCCGTAGACAAAATGTAAATAAGCATTTTGAACTCTTTGTATCTTGAGTTTCCGCACCAATAAGTGTTTACTATTATAAATACCCACAACGGAAGCCCGATTGAAAAGTAGGAAGTATATTGTAAGAGTTTAAATGTTATCATAACCTAGTCGCTAGAATTCTTTCTACTAATTGGCTGCAGATATTACAATTGAGAAACCTTATTAGTTTTAGGAACAGGTGTAAGAACAACACCCTTCCATTGATGAGCAAATACAGAATTCCCAATGCAAAAGTTTAGGGCAATATAACCGAAGAACTTAGTAGAAGCATTTGCTTGTTATTCCATCATTACCAACATCATTTGACGTAATTTGATCCAATTCATTTGAAGCAAGAGAAAAAGGAAGCTCTCCAGTTATCGAAGATAGTCTAATACTGCTATAAAAGTGCAATAAGTGAGGATCACAAGCAGATTGATTTTGAAATGAAAGATAGTAATTATTTATACATAATAATATAGTTAGCATCTCCCACAGAGGGTGGAGCAGACTTTCCTTTGTTACCAGAAGAAATACAGCAGTTCTTGTTTTAATCGATATTCAGCGGTAGATTCTTGTATATTTTTATTGAACTAAAACTAGAACTAACACTAGACTTAGAACTAGAAATATTCGGGTTTAGCCGTCTTAAGAAGTTTATTTTTAAAATGTCGTTTCTTTTGTTTTACCAATCTATGTACTACTAAGTTATGATGTTATTCTTTTGCTGTAACGCTTGGGTTTAATAAATATTATTATTATTGTTATTATAAAAGCACACAGGAAATACAAAGAACGCAACAACAGCTAACTGATCCGATACTGACGTTATTTTCTGGATAACAAAAAGAATAAAGTACATATGTAGCAGTTCTTTTAGATTTTACCGTCCTTGTGATAAAGTATATTTTTAACTAAATGCTATGTTGTAACCATTCATAAGAAATATTTATAATTTATTTATTTGTTTCTCGATGATTTATCTATTTTAATGTTATCAATAGATTTATTGTTGAGTTGTTTTGATTCGAAAATCCTTCAATATTATCTAAATCACAATAATATAGGAAGTATATTATTTAATTTGTTATTTTTTTTTAAATAAATCTATAAATGATCAGAAATTTTAAAACAAACCTAACAAAGTAAACATGTTTCGAGCAACGTTGATTATAATTTTCACGTTCGTTGTTTTCGCTTACGCCGAAGATATTTGTAAGTTGAATTTGAAAATTGTGTCTATTTAAAAAAAATTTTTTTCTTAATTTAGGTGAAAAGCAATTCAAAGATTGTTATGCTATTTGCGATGATATTAATGTACAAAATTGTATGTTTAAAATGTACACTGATAAGAACAGGATATTTAATTTGACAGTTTGCGACCAAAGGGAATCTAGTATTTATTTATTTATTATCATTAAGAAAGATTTATTATTAATTTTTTCCTTAGAATCTGCTGACGATTGGGATATTAAAAAAGGCAGCAGAAGGATTGAATGTGCTTACAGTAATACTACACAAGGTGATGATAATAACCACAGGAACACAATTATACAATCTAGAAATAGTTTTGTGGTTGTATATGATTAATTAATATACTACTAATCACTTTGAAATAAATGTTTTGATAAATAACAGTTAATTTGATGTCTATTATTTCTTAAAAATCACTTGTAAAATTGATAATTAAAACTATATACAGTCAGTCCCAAAAGTCATCGTACACAAATGGTTTTCGCATGATTTCCAAAACGTGATCGTAAATAAAAGAATTTTTTTATTACCATACATGTAATTATTTATTTTTAATAGATTTATAAACAGAAAACACTGCAATTTAACAAAATAACAAAATAACTTAATAATTCTTCAAAATCGTTCCATTGCAATCTCACAAAAGTAATCGTACATCTGAAAACCGACAGGGGTTTCCCCGTCTCTTTGTCAATTACGTGGGATTTCCCGTGCAGCTAGTCTAACCTGCCCTACATCTAGTAATCGTTGCTCTCCGTTTGTCAAAAAAGTGGCATGGCTCCCCAGAGAACGGAAACAAGTGTAGAAGTGAGAAAAATTGTTATAAAATTACATAATGAAGGTCGATCTATACGTGAAATCGCTAAAACACTTAATGAAAGTGCTTCTACAATTCAGTATATAATTAAAAGGTTTGTGGATACCGGAAATATTGAAATCCGCGCACTGGCCGTCCAAAATTGTTGACTCCCCGAGAAGAACGAAGCATTAGGCAAGAAGTCAACGCAAATCCTCGGATAAGTGCCCCAAAAATAGCGGCGAACGTCCAAAACAAATTTAATAAAACCGTAAGAAACTGTGCGAAGGGTTTTGCGTGGTGCCGGGTATAACGGACGAGTACCACGAAAGAAACCTTACATTAGCGATGTTAACAAAAAGAAACGAATCGAATTTGCAAAAATGTATAAAAAGATATGGACTTTTGGAAAAGGGTCATCTTTACAGATGAATCAAAATATAACATATTTGGATGCGATGGTAGGGGTAAAATTTGGAGGAAGGCCGGTACAGCCCTAGATTTAAAAAATCTGCTACCAACAGTGAAACATGGCGGTGGATCCGTTATGGTATGGGGATCCATGGCTGCTTCAGGAGTCGGTAGTTTAGTCTTTATTGAAAATATAATGAATAAGTGGCAATATTTAAATATTTTAAAGGCTAATTTAAAGCAAAATGCTATACAATTGTGTCTTGGAAGTAATTGGATTTTCCAACAAGACCAATACCCAAAGCATACAGCGCATGTAGTTCGCGAATGGCTTTTATATAATGTGCCCAAGCAGCTACATTCTCCTCCACAATCACCGGATATTAACCCCATAGAGCACGTGTGGGATTACTTAGAAAAATCTATTAGAATGCACAACATTAGTAGCAAGGAATCCCTAAAAGCTGCATTACAAGTAGAGTGGGATAAAATTCCGGCATCATACACTGAAAAACTTGTTCAATCTATGCCGAGAAGACTAAAAGCTGTACTTAAAGCGAACGGAGGACCAACCAAGTACTAGTACCAGCTTGGCTGCGTCTTTAATTACAACTTTTGGATTTGTACGATCACTTTTGTGACATTCCAATGGAAGAATTTTGAAGAACTATTAAGGTATTTTGTTATTTTGTTAAATTGCAGTGTTTTCTGTTTATAAATCTGTTAAAAATAAATAATTATGTGGATGGTAATAAAAAAATACTTTTTTTACGACCTCATTTTGGATATTATGCAAAAACCGTTGGTGTACGATGACTTTTGGGACTGACTGTAAGTGTATGGTAGCACTGTCTTTCAAATTTGACACATTGATTATAACAACATTTATAGAGATATAGTAAAACCAGTAATATCACAAAGGCATAACCTTCAAGTTGTATTAAAACAGCAGCTCCACATTCAACAGTGTTAAGTGTTTGCCCAGAAGATCACATTCATATTATTCCTTAGACATTAATTAATAAAGAAACTACTAACACATTACCAATTCTTTCGTTGACATCACCACCTAAAAACTTTAAAAAGAAAAGCCACTTAGAAGATGCATCTATGTAGGATTCGGTTGTGAAATTAAAATCACATGTTTTAAAAGTAATAATAACGACTTTTTGGCATATAAAAACATTTGTAAATCATTCCATTCCATTATTACAACCATGTCTTGGAAATATACTATCCAATTTAAAGAATCTTCTACATCACGGAACGATAAGGCAAAAGTCGGCAAAAGATGCTGGCCATGAAATGTTTCTTATCAACGTTTTTTTCATCACCAGTATTATCACCACGTTTCGGCACAATGGAAAATTACGACGCACTTAACGTGTTTTAACAAGAACGGAAGAAAGATTTTAGTTCAATTTATTGTTTACTTCACAACAATTTGCTTACTTACAGTCTTATTAACAGTTTTTGTCACTAAACATTTCATGTTGACCGCGGTTGAGTCTCCAAATTTGTAGGATTTGGTTTGTTACTTTTAAAACATGCAATTTTAATTTGACAACTTAATCCTACATCAATCCATCGACTAGCGTTTCAGTTGTATTTTCACCAGAAGAAGTATGAGCATTACCGAAAGGCATAACGCGAAAACTCAGAAAATAGCTTTCGATTTCAAAAGGTGTTATAGGAGCTGCTGATTTTCATGCTGTCTGCATGATTTTCATTTGACGATGCCAGTACAGTGCTGAAACATTGACCCAAACCACAACAATTTCTAAAATACTTCAAGTTGCACAGAGAAAAATGGAGAACTCAATACTTGGTGTTTCGCTTCGCGATCGAGTCTGTAAGCAAGATCTCAGAGGAAGGACGGGAATTATTGATGTGATCACCCGAATTACAGAACTCACAGTCATACGAATTGGACAGGGCATGTGGTCCGTTTGATGGATGGAAGATGGACAAAGGGGCCGCTCGAGTGGAGACCGAGAAGTAGAAGAATACTACCCACATGGTTTAACCCGCTCATTACTCATCTATACGTTTAGTTCCTACTTTGATTCTAATATGCTGATTAAATATTTTCAGAAAATTGAATTTTTCTCGTTTTTTTTCTTATAAAACCTGATGATGTAATATATACATCGAATAGAATGAAATATGGACCGCCAAAATGAATAATGTTGAGAAAAACGGGATTTTCGTTTTCATCTCTCTAAAAATATAAGACTTCTCAGAATAGACAGGCTCAAACTATTGAAAATTATTTGGTGCCTGTCCATTATTATCACAGAACACTGATGACAGCTATCACAAGCACAGAGAACATACAGGGTGTTTCTGTAAGTCGTGGCATAAATTAAATCACTAAAACTAGAGACAAAATGATGACGATTCGTATAAAAATTTTTGAAGAAAACAATCTAGAGTTTGATTTTGTACTTTTAAACTGGTTTTTATTTTATATAGAATTTAAGTCTAACCAATTTCGGCCCTTGGCCATCTTCCAAGACTCTACAAATAGATTAACATCTCTCATCTTATCCATTTTACAAACAAGTTTCTTAATATTTCTTTTTGTTTTGTTAAAAAAGATCACATATCACAGTCGAAGTCAGATTATTAGTTACTAATTTAGTACAACTACTGTCTTCATTAAAGTTACTGATGATATTAGATATGCCTGCGACAACAGATGTGTTACTGTATCTAGTACTGCTCGATTTCAGCAAGGCTTTTGATTCTGTGGACCACAGCCTTCATTTGGCGTCCCTTTCTGCCTACGGATTCACTCCCTCCTGTATTTCTTGGTTTCAATCTTACCTTTCCCATCGTTTCTTGTGCGTACGCGCTAACTCTTCAATTTCTTCTGCTTGTGCAATCAAATGTGGTGTTCCTCAGGGCAGTGTATTGGGTCCGTTACTTTTTTCTTTGTTCGTTAATAGTGTTATCTCGTGTAATTATCATTTGTATGCCGCCGACCTCCAGATATATACTACTACAACTGTTGCTGAATTTCCGGAAGCTATTGTGCGACCTAATAACGATTTATCTAAGGTCTTGAACTGGTCTCGGAGATACGGACTTAAGTTGAACTCAGTTAAAAATGGTTTTCGGTTTTCTGACACAATTAAAAATCTTGGAGTCTTTATGGATTCTGCACTGTCTTGGAAACCGCAAATTCAACATGTTTGCAGCAAAGTTTAGGGTTGCTTCCATTCTTTAAAAACACTTCGATGCTTTCTTCCTCCGGTGGTCCGTCGTAATCTTTGCTACTTACTTATATTTTCCCACTTCGACTATGCGGACGCGGTTTATCCCGATCTCTCGGTGACTCTTCTGAGTAAATTGCAACGGTTACAAAATAATTGCATCCGGTTCATATTTGACCTAAATAGATTTGAGCATGTAACACCGTATCGCAATTACATTCAGATGTTAACCTGTGAGGGACGTAGATCCTTTTGTTTATTAACCACCCCAAAGTACTTATCAGATAGGTTCCAGCAATTATCAACTCATGAACTTGCTACTCGTTCATAGCACTGAAATTTATCACAGATCATTTACAGTACAGTCGATTGCGCTGTGGAATGGACTGCCTTCTGAAATTCGTAATATTTCTAACATTGCTAATTTTAGACATGTTTTAAAGAGCCACTTGCTTGCCCTTCAACTGGCTGCTTCCTGATTCTTTATTCTTTGTCTTTCTCTTTTTTCCTCTCTTCAACTGCTCTCACTTTTTGGCAACTGATATCCGGCAGATTCTTTTGGTCTCTTTTAGCCGCTCACTCTCTTTTCGTGTCTTTTCTTTGTTTTTCTCTTTTTCTTGTTTAATCTTATTTGGTGATAAATGTTAATAATATCTAATTATCACTACTTGCCATATTCACTAAATATTATTTTTGTTTGTGCTGTTGGGTCATTTGGCAAAGATCGCTTGTGAGATTAAAATGATCAATTTGCTGATACTGCTCATACTGCTTATACTGTTTAAGTTTATCTATTGCTCGACTAACAATCGACAATGGGATTTTATGTATATATTTTTGTTATTATTTTTTTTCTTCTTGTGTACCTTATGTAATTTTGTATTCTTATTTGTGCCAATAAATGGTAAATAATAATAAATAATAATTTACAAAATTAAAGTTTAAAAAGTTGTAAAATGAAAT